CTCTCTCTCTCTCTCTCTCTCTCTCTCTCGCCTGTAAAGCTGTTCTTTCTCGGCCTAGTATGTTTTAACAGCTTGCCGACCAACTGAGCAGCAACATGCCGCGCGTCGCGACCTATAGTGTGTGCCAATAAAGATTCCTTGGGGTTTTTTTTTCCTGTTTTGCCTAGACGCTAAGTACCAGATCTGTAAAAACGAGCAAAGAAAAAGCAGCAGTTCCCCGTATGTTGTTCCGGTAAAGTATGAGCATGGCATTGATAAATCAGCCAATTTACAATTCTACTGTGCACAATAACATGTAAATGTCCCCCCTTTGGGAATGGCCTAAAAACAACTTCAGTCAGTAGCACTGCCCTGGTGGGGGGAGGGGGGGGGTATACATGTATCACATCTGTGAAATGTGAACGGCGAATTTAGATCTATATGGCTGGGAACAGCTGTATTCTTAGACCTTTAGGACATTACGTACTCTAATCATGTAGACGAAAGACGCGCAAATTTGATAGATCTAGTCCCATTCTATGAGGTAGATCAACATGTACTTCTTTTCCCCCTGAGCTTCCTTAATAATTTTATTATTATGTCGAGTGCAGTTGCACGTAGAACTAGGCCAAGTTACAATCCCTTCGTGGCTCTGAATCTTGTTTTATTTTTAGCCAGGCGGAGAAACCGCGATCGGTCTAGACGTGGAAGATTGCGACATTAATTATTCTTTAGCCGAGACCGAGTTCAGGAAATTATGAAAAGGGCTAACGGAAATCACAGCTTTAGGCCTATTAGAACGGTACTTGCCTACATGCACGATATCCTTGCATGGCCATTAGAGTGGGGTTTGGTAATTCTTGTTGGTGGTTGGGATACCCCCCCCGAGTCGTGATAGGTCGGCTAGGCTGATCACAATGTAAAGCCCTGCTTTGAAGTACATTTATTAGTTTTAGCAACGATCCCCCAAATTAAAGCTGATTAGTAGAGAATCTTTGGTTTTAGTAAGAGTTTTGGGAGCACTTGCAACACAATTTGGTCATATAAATGACACAGATTATAGCAATTACAAGAGAGTAGCAAACACAATACAGGAGGAGGAGAGATAAGGACGACAGGTGTTTTGATAGGAAAGATATATAATGGTGAGAGTTGGAAAAAGTGGGCGCTGGCTAGAGGCCTAAAAAGGTAGACAAACTGGCAAGAAAATAGGAGTTTTCGTAAGATTTTTGTTTCAACAGACGATTTAAATTAGGCTCGGGTCGACGATAAGAAATGTATAGATAATATTTCTTTTTTGTTTATTTTGCTTTGGTCGAAATTACTTTTGTTTCTTTTGTCTGTTTTTTTCTTCAAATTTTGCTGGGTTTGTGCATAACTTGATTTTGACTGATTCCCTCCCGCCCTCCCCCCCCA